AAAGAAATTTCTATCTAATTAATGAGTGGTTTCATGTTAGGAATGTGGTTTTGATAGATAATTTTCTTTTTTGTATTATTGTAAAAAATTATGCTTTGACAATACCAGATATCTTTCTTTTATGTATCATAATCATTTCATATTAATCTCTCAATTTAAATTTTTTTATGAAAAATTATGTATAAGGATGAAGTTGGTCAAATGTAATACTTGGTAAAAAAAATTGTGCATTCAAACATCATTTCATAATATCACTATTCTATTATGTATATATATATATATATATATAAAAAAAAAAAAAACTGGCGGGCTGGTCCGCGGCCCGCGCGGGCCAGCCCGTTTAGGCCCGCTCTTTGGCGGGCCTCTAAAACTACAACCCAACCCGCACATTTGGCGGGGCGGGGCGGACCGGCCCGCGGGCTCAGGCCCATTTTGACATCTCTGCAAAAAAGGTCATTTATTTGTTAGTTGGTTTGTATTTTCAAATGTTGGTCGCAAAGACAATAACGCCAACTAATCTTTATCAAACCATTAGGTGATTAATATCAAATTGCGTAATATTTTAGTTATTAACAATTCAAATATTTGGAGTTTTCCATTCAACTATTAACAAAAATATATTATACATTTTAATTATTGTTACTTCTTTTGAGCAATTGATTTTTACTATGGGCGCACTATAAACAATGATCATTAAATTTTTTATATATTAAATATTTTATTTATTGATTATTTTAAGATTCTTAAATGCTTTTATGATTTTTGCAATAAAATTTAAGAGTTTACTTAACAGTAAGTATCCTGTTAAATAAGATAACTGCTTCTAGAATAGTTATTTAATTTTTTCAATGGCTAATTTTTGTCTTCTAATGTTTTTTTTATGTGTTTTGTTATTCCCAACGGTATCTAGTGTGTAGTCTCCTGTGTTGGAATGGGTTCTAAAAAAAAAAAAAAAAAGATAGACAAACCTAAGTAAAAAAACCAAAAGTTATCCGGTCTAGAATACATGATAACCAATAAAAATGCTCTCATTTGTTTTCTCTGTTAAAAGAAAAATTAAATTAAGAATAAATATTGAATGTTCAGGTTTGTACTTTGTTCAAAGTAGACTATAGAGTAGATTTGGTCTAATTTTTTTTTTATCGTCACTTAAGTTAGATCTTGTTTACTTTTATTTGCATTGAAAAATATTATATTTTTTATAGAAGACTATTTCTTACGTATATATATTTTTTAAGAGATCTAAAGTATTGTGGGTGTCGGAAAAATTATATAAAAAGAAAAAGACCGAAATTTAAAATAACTTATTAAAATGAATACTTGTTATCATAGTTTTTGACTCCGCTGCTTTCTTCCGTATCTCCAAAACATGAGCTCAACGTTAACCCAAGCAACAAAGCGTTGAAATGATATAGAATTGTTGTTTTGAAAAAAAAATCCTTATTTTTAGTATTAATTTATTGATAAAATCGTAATCATATTTAAGGGTTTTAATATATAAAAGTGAATGGTGTAACAAAAACAACATAATAAATACTTATAAATAACTCAATATTTTCAACTATTTATTTACCTATATTTTAACAAAACGATAAATCTTGATAAAACATGACAACTTAATTGAGGAGTAACTTGTCTATAACAAATAATTTCAAAGATACACTTAACTTTAATTAAGAGAATATGCCTAAAATTTTATTGAAAACATGCACACGTGAAATATATATGCAATCTAACAAACTAGAAAAGTAGAAGAATTCATTCAACTACTTCATTATTGCAAGCAAAATAAACTCTTTTATTTAAAATTAGAATTAGAAATTACGCCGTAATTTTATTGGATTGATTTTTAATCCCACAAAAATCGTCATTTATTTGTTAGTTGGTTTGTATTTTCAAAT